TTGATTGATTGATTGATTGATTGATTGATTGATTGATTGATTGATTGATTGATTGATTGATTGATTGATTGATTGATTGATGGATGCACAGTCAGCAATACATCAACACAATGAACACCTGGCTTCATTCTTTAAACACAACAACTCAAATGGTTTGTGAAAAACTGTAAAACCACAAACAGCATGATTTTATTTGTTGTTCTATTTATTTATTTATACTTTTTATTCTTTATAAATTTGCAGTCTCTTTAGCACGGATAAGAACACAAATAGACCATTTGAATAAATCAAATAATAAAATAGAACCTATTATTTTACTGTAAAACTAATTTTAAAAAGTAAAATAATAAAACATGAACAATGTCAACAAACACTTTGAGGCAAAACTGAACATCACCAAATTTCTCATGATAAATAATGTATATAAAAAACAAAAAAATACATAAAAGAAACATAATATCCATCTTAAACTATTCTCAGTTTGATAATGTATGAGAGACACCTGAACACAGCACAGTTTGGATCCAATTTCACTTAAAAAAAATGTTCATAAGTGAGTTTGAATCAAACATCGAGAGGCACCGGTTGTTTGAGAGTGGGGCGGTGCTCTTCAGGAGGGAGCGCTTGTTCTCCTTTGGGATTAATTAAGTCAGCAAAAATTACAAACAACTTCCTGTTGAAATGTGATACTCCAAAATAAAAGCATACAATAAACTAAGTATGCAGATAATCTACAGAACCAGTTTTTTCTCTCTCAACTGCATGTTAGTTTGATTTGATACATGTCAGATAAATAATAGAGCAGCTAGCTGCTGCTGAAAGGTGAAGGAGGCCTCCATGGTTGATCGATCAAAGTCAACACAACAAACACACATAAGAGTCATTGACAGCGTTGTAAAGTAACTAAGTACAAATACTTTGTTACTGTTCTTAAGTTGAATATTTGGGTATTTGTACTTTACTTGAGTAATTATTTTTCAGCATACTTTTTACTTCTTACATTTTATAAAAAGACAAGAAGTAGAAAGTTGTTACTTTTATTTCATTGCAGCTTGTTTTCATTGCAGCTTGTTGTTGTAAAAAATAAAAACTATCCATATAAACTGAGCCTCCTAGATAGAGTGAATTTAACTGTGGTTGAATGAGAAGTATAAATATATAAAACTCTGATAGTGTATTAGTT